AAAAAAAAAAAAAAGAGTAACCAAAATCTAAAACTAAGTAACAACAGAAATCAAAAGATGGTCACAATCAACAAGAACACATCAAAGTAATCTGAAAGATCCAACATGTAGAAACACCGATTCCAAACGCATAAGCTCGAACATTTGTGTTGTTGCCACAGATCCAAAGATCTTGAGTCCTCATCCTCATTGCCACGAGCACCACCAGTCAAGGCCGCCCTCAAAGCCTCAAACACATGAAGAACCTACAGTTTGTTCAGAGACTAACACAAAAACGAATCAACTTCAAACAACAAGTTACATATGGCGGCACGGGAGCTTCTATGGGCAGTTAGAGAAGGTGCCTCCAATCACATCTTCAAGCTATAATAGCCTCAAGAATCATCTCCCACAGATGTAACGAAGTCACCAAAGCTAAATCGCTGCCTCTATTCTACACTGTCACCACCAGCGCTTCAACGGAACATATCAAAGCCGAAGATGAACCACTTCAGGACCTGTGAAACCAAGCCATACAAACACAAACAACACAAGAAACGGAAGGAACCAAACCGGAACCTACAGATCTGAGAAGGCCCAGAAAGCAAACACCAAAGGCGAATCTCTGAAATCCACCCTCTTTGAAGCACCACCACCAGCCATCCACTAGTAGAAAAAGTGCATATAGACACGAACTAGACACTAACAAACGTGACTATTTTTTAGTTACTCACGAAATTGTCACGAAGTGTAAACCGTGACTAAAAATGTCACGAACTAGTCACAAAATTAATAACGTGACTAAATATGTCACGAAATAGTCACATATGAAAACGTGACTGCAAATAGCCACGAATTTGTCATGAATTTTTTGTGACTATATGATACCCTAAACCCCAAATAGAACATTAAACCCTGAAATTTTCACACAAATCTAAAAACACTAATAATTTCATATTTTAATCTCAAATCTTCAAAACTAAACTCATGATTTAATGTTTTTTAGAATTAAACTCAAATCTTAAAATACACCTAATTATAAACTCCAAATACTATATATATATACTCCATACCCTAGATTAAAAACCTTAAGCCTTAATGTTAAAATAAGTTTTCAGTTATTACAATATACTTAAAATTAATATCTATAAAAGATCTAAATTTCCAAATCTATTTTTCAAATCTTAATCACTTTAAACATTAAATCACATTCCCTGTCATACCTAAAGTATAGAAACTAACCTTCTAAACTTTTAACTAATTTTAATTATAATGTATAACAATTAATGTATACTAATTTTTAAAACTTAATATGAAATCTTAAATATAAACCTCTATAACTTCATTTTTAAATTAAACACTAAACTTAATTTCATAAACCCTATACTCTGTATTATAAACCTAAATATCAATCACAAAGTTTAAAATATATTTTTTTATCAAAAGAAAAATAAATTTTAAATCAAAAATTTTAAATTGTGAAATCAAAAATCTTATTTTTCTCAAAATAATTCTTTAACTAGGAATTTTATCATTAATATGTTATATATTAAAAATCAATTATAATAGGAATTAAATCAATGTTGTTGACAAAAAAACAGGAAATCAAATACATAAGATCTGATTAGTCAACATAAAAACAGCCTATCAGATACAAGGGCTCGGATCCTGCTTTGTTTAACCACAGCCATTGATTAAAATGAATCCAACGGACCAAAATGCACTATGGTAAAAAGACACTTTTTCTTCTATCTTTTTCTTCCTTTCTCTCCTCTCAACTCTTCGTATCCTCTATCTCTCAATCTGTCTCCGTGAATCAAAATTGTTTCAACAACCAACACTCAACCACCTCCGACACCATTATCTCAATCTCCACCTCCTTGTTCACCACTTCTCTGCTTTTTATTTTTATTTTCTATATTCTCAGTGTTTTCTTTTTCTTTTTTTTTTCCAGATGCAGATTTAAAACAAGAAGATGATAGAAAACAGATCCGGGGGGGGGGAGGGAGGAGGCAGAAGAAGCTTGATGGCGGAGGAGGCATAAGAAGCCTGACGGCGGAGAAGGCTGGGCGAGCATATCAGTTCGTCGTTTCAACCGTTACACCGGTGGCTCTACACCAGACTGAGTCCCCGCTTAACCCATGGCATCCGGAGCAGGTGGAGAAGCCGGTGGCGGAGCGGTGGAGGCGTTGATTGCATATAATATATATGTATGTTTTTTTCTGTAAAAATATGTAATTATGTATATATATAAAATTTGTGTTTTTGTAATTAATTAATAGAAATTATTATTATTTTGTTTTTATTTTTTTTTAAATATTTTTTCTAGATAGTCACGTAGAGTCACAATAAAAAAACGTGACTGAGTAGACTCGATTGGTTTTATGACTTAATGTGACAATTTTAGTCACGAACAAAAACTGTGTCCAAAACGTGACTATTTTAGTCACGAATTATCACGATTACTTTTAGTCACGATCGTATAGACACATTTTTTTTTCCTGACTTTTCGTGTCTATGATATCCTATAGTCACGAGAAAAAGGTCTCAGTCACGAAAATTACCGTGTCTATATCAAAGTTTTCTACTAGTGATCGCCGGTGAGACCTCTCGCCGGAGGAGCTCAAACCCAACACTTCCGTCCTATCTGCACCTGTGAAGGAGAAGCAGCACGCATTGGAGACAGATGCCACCTAACCGAGGAGAAACTGCAAGCCCTTTTCCTCTGCATCTGACTACTGCAAAGGTTTTTAGCGTATTGTCTCTTGACTCTCTAGCGCTAAAGCCAAACAGATCTTATGCATATCTAGCTAAACAAATAAGTGAAATTTTATCCAAAAAAAACAAACAAATGATACACATAGCGCTATAAAGTGATGAACGTTCAGGCACCCATTTGGATTCAGTTCAAGTCTATTTAGTTTTCAGATTTTAGAGTAAAAGATTTCAACCACATTTAGGTATTTATAATTCGGTTCGAGTTAGATTTAGATATTTATTGCTTCATTTCGAATTTTAGCGTAACCTATTTAAATTAAAAAAAGAATTCCTATATAGTTTAAATTTCTCAAATCTATAGACAGATAAATTTGAATAGTATATGTCAAATTACATAAATCTAATAGAAAAATGGGGCTGTCTTAAATATTTAGATGAAGAATCAATAAATATTTATTTTTGGTGTTTCGAGTTATGATTAGTTATTTTATATATTTACTTTTGACTATTTTATATATTTTTCAAGTATTTTGGACAACTTTAAAATATTTTATATATTTTTGATCTTTGCCATTAAATCTAGAAATAACTGATATATTTTAGTTTGCACAAAAAAACTGATATATTTTAATATATAAATCTGATACTAATATATTCGGATATCAAAAATATTTCGGTTTACATCGGATTCGGTTTTGGTTCCCTAAATACCAAAGTTTTTAACATGTTCAGATATTTAATCAGTTTTGATTAGAATTATTTTTCGGATTTGGTTCGGTTTTTCCTATTCATTTTTTCCTCGTTCTTGCGCTTTATATGTTTCCAACTTAATTAAACTTATTTAAAAAAAAAATCGAAAAGAGAAACATATATCAGGAAATCCATTAAGAGAAATCAATAGTAAAGATTGAAGAACACAAAGATAGAAGCCATTCCAAGTCTCCAATATATTCATAAGAATCAGGAATCATGATACATTAACGAAAATATTTTCATCAGGCCCCATGGGGTCCCAAAAATATTCCATCAATATATATATACCTAATACTACTGATATCAACGTTGTACGGAAGACGAACAAGAGTTTGGGATGGTAATTTCAAATACGACATAGCCGAAATGTTATGTTACTCGATCACATTTCACATGAAAATGTTTTAACTTTTATATAACAGATGATTAAATGCTATGTTATTCTTGACAACGATATCTTACATGTAAATTAGGAAAAATATCATCCCAGACTTCGAGTTTGGATATATATATATAGAAAAAGCATTTGCGAAACACTGAGCAAACGAGCATATTTTTCAATACAATGGAGTGCCCGATACGATTCATGAAACTAAACACTTTAATGAAAGAGTTCTCCCTAAACCAAACATTCTTATTAATCTCAACCTTCTTTAAAGCACAGTTACGTACACGGTTACACAACTCTCAGTGTCGACAGCAAATAAAACATGCACTTGCAACTAAGACAAGACCCAACAAACATTCAATTAAAAACAACTAAAACAACACACACACACACACACAACACAAAATAAAAAGCTTTAATTGGAGTCACGGACGTGGAAGTAATTAGGGTTCTTGACGACGATATCGTACATGTAAACAGAGCTGAACTTAGTGAAATCTTTAGGGAGAGAGATGAGATCAATGGATGAGCGTTTGTGAAATTGGAGAAGATCTGTGTCGCCACCACCGAAGTATCTCTCCCATCCAAGACTCCGGAGGATCTGCTCGAGCGTCGAGTAAGATGAGATCACTTCTCCTGTCGGTAAATAGACCATCACTTTCCTCCGGCTATGTGTGTCGCCTGCTGACTGGTTAGGGTTCTCAACGAGCCTTATCACTCCGTTCTTGAACACCCAAACGCCTGACATGATCTTCTTGAGAGAGATGAGAGAAAGAGAGAGTATATGATGCTTTAGTGTTTGTTGAGACAAGAGAGGTGTGTGTGGAACTGTTTTTATAGAGCCGTAGTGAGAGGCTCTATCACATCAAGACAAACTTGTCTTCTTTCGAACGTGACTAAAAGAACTTGTTTATATTATTAAGCCGATTTCATAAAGTAATAATCAACGTGGATATTAATATTAGATTCACACCAAAGATTTTTCTAATAATATTAATTTATCACTACAAGAAATCAACGTCAACGCCGATGAGATTTACCGACTACTTCTCTCCTCGGAAAGTTTACGACGGGTTTCTGATCAATTTCCTAGAACATATGATCCTTGTCGGAAGATTCTCGGAACTTTGCGATAAATCAATATTCTCACTCTTTTGTCGTAAATTTATGTCGGTAAGTTGTCGGGAACAAAATAAAATTGNCACTACAAGAAATCAACGTCAACGCCGATGAGATTTACCGACTACTTCTCTCCTCGGAAAGTTTACGACGGGTTTCTGATCAATTTCCTAGAACATATGATCCTTGTCGGAAGATTCTCGGAACTTTGCGATAAATCAATATTCTCACTCTTTTGTCGTAAATTTATGTCGGTAAGTTGTCGGGAACAAAATAAAATTGCGAGGAGTTTGTTTTCTCGGAAAGTTCCGAGAACATGTTGTCGGTATTTTCTCAGGCCAATCAAAATCCCGACTACAAATTCGCTTCTCGGTACGGCGTCGTTAAAAACTGACAAAAGTTTGTCGGAGTTCTCTCGGTTTCCAAATTTACTTGAACTGACAATATCTTCAGATTTTGTTATAATCAAGTAGCAGTTATGAATCTGGAAGTAAACTATTTTCAGTCATTTGTAAACATTAATCGATTTCGTTGTGATCCCAAATCTCTGTTTTCCCCGGTTCGATTTCCATTGATATCTTTAAAGACGATACAAAATTGTAACACGTGGCCAAATTAGATGGTGTCGGTAGAAAAAGAAGGGTCTGGATGCAGAGCTATAAACTTTTTGTGAGATTAAAAAAGGAAAAAAGGGATATAACTCTCTATCTTTCTCCTGTCCACATATCTTTCTTTTTCATTATCTTCTCCTATGAATTTTTTTTCTTCAATCTCTGTCAAAGAGTTGATCTTCGCTTGCGCAACGGTGTAAAGAATATCTTCACGAGCTCGTTCGATTTCGTGTATTCGGCTGGGCTGGCCTCCTTGCAATCACTCTGTTTAGTGATATCTGCCGCCAGTTTGTGGGATTTAGTTCCGATTTCGGACTGGGATTAGGAGGAGGTTTTGCTGCTATTGGTATTGATTCTTCCAGTTAGGTCCTGGTTAGTGTTCTAGTATATTAATTTTTCTCCTTTTCTGCTCTTTCCTTCTTCCCCCTTCTCTGTTTATTTTAATACTTTCAGATTTGTGTTTCTTTGAATTGCCACCGTCACCTCCGAAACACCTCCACGGTCATTGCTGCTACTCCACCTCCACCATCACGGCGGCCTTCGCATCCTACACCATCTCAACAATTATTAGATTATAAGTTTTATTTTTGTNATTTTTCTCCTTTTCTGCTCTTTCCTTCTTCCCCCTTCTCTGTTTATTTTAATACTTTCAGATTTGTGTTTCTTTGAATTGCCACCGTCACCTCCGAAACACCTCCACGGTCATTGCTGCTACTCCACCTCCACCATCACGGCGGCCTTCGCATCCTACACCATCTCAACAATTATTAGATTATAAGTTTTATTTTTGTAGAACTTTTATTTTTAATTTGTAATAGATTTGATAATTTTAATATAATTCTGAGATTTATTTATAATTCATTATTTTTTTTTTATTTAAAAAATATTGGTTTGTCGGAAGATCATCGTCAATATTTCTCAGAAGTTTATCGTAATTTTCCGATAACTTTCCAATAAATATTTCCGACAAATTTTGTTAACGGAACTTACCGATTAACTTCCGACAAACCGAGATTTCCGAGACCCAAACGCCGACTAATATTTGATTGTCGGGAAGTAGTGGGTAATGTCTATTACCGACCAACTGCCGATTAATATGCCCGTCGGAGTATGAGCTTTATTCTTGTAGTGTATGTTTACATAGGAAACAATATATACAAACATAATTTTGTGTTGATAAATTATAAAAACGAATGACCTTATCAAGATATTTCAATGAAATATTTATAATCATTTTATTCCATAATGTCATGTCATTAGGCATACAAATCTTTTTCTATCTTAAATCCGATGGTTAACGTTACTTTAGCATCCTTTCTGATTCTACCAATTATAAGCACACTTTTCGTGATGAACATTGTAATCCAATTCACTCACTCATCTTTTAAGCGACAAATCAGTATTAAAATAACCATGGACAATAGCCCTAATGGTGGGAGAATCACGAATTAAGAGAACCACGCATACAATAATGGTAGGCGAATCTCTATCTCTTATGTTAATCTTTATATAATTCTTATAAAGATTATGAATTATTCGACGCTAGGAAAATTTAACAACATTCTCTTCCCTAACATATATATAATTTTATGGTAGCTAGCCAATCGATGATTGTATTAGTGCACGTACACACAAACCTTGGGCGTGATGGTCGAATTCATTTATAAGTTACACTCGATTATTTTTCTTCATGCCTAGAACTATAATAATATGTTTTATGATTATATATACTGTTATTGTAAAACTCACACTAATATTTTCAGTCTGTGAAGTTATGTATCTTTCAATATCACTACAAGAAAACATTGATTTTGAAACTACAATTTGCAACCACAGCAGTAGTTACAAAATTTTGCTACTAATTTCTAACCAATTTGCAACTTTAGTGCTACTACACGTAATGTGTCATAAGTGAGTTGCAAATATGCAACCAAAACGTGCAGTTGCAATATAGTCGTTTATTTGAGAGCAATATGTGACTCTTTTGCGACATTACACGGAGGTAGAAAGATATATGTAAATTTGCAACTGATTTATGACTATGTATCTAGTCAGAAACATTTATTTCAAAATTACACAATTATATAATTTGAATATAGTTGTCGTAAAGTGGTAAATTGTTTTTGTAATGCTTTTGCGATTTACAGTTATAATTGATAGCTTGAATGATACATAATTTTTTTTTTTTGTCACTATTTTGCAACGATAATAGTGGAGGGTCATAAACTAGTGGCGAATATTATGTACATATTAAAATTATTGTGTTCTATAAACAATATTTAGGGTATAAGGTTTGGTTTGACACTCTTTTGTCACTACAAACTTAAAATAGTTGCGAAGCAGTTACAAAATGTGTCACATTTTGGTAACCACTTATATTTTGTAACTTATTTATAACCCCATAAAGTAGTCTAGTCCTAAAGTAGTCAGCAAAATCTAGCATTACTATTGTATTGTTAGTTATTCCAATTATAGTATTTTCATTTTGTCTTACTGTATATCATTACTAATTAATCAAATAAACTCAAAAATGATTGTATCTTATATAAACCAAAGCCATCATAAGATTTGGATACACTATAAATCTCCACCAAACATATGTTACACACTTCTGTTACATTCATATATAATCATCTGGACTAGAGTTAATTTTTTTTTATTTTTTATTGGACTAGAGTTGAAAATTATTAAGTTAGGCTTTCTTAGGAAATTATACTGAATATAAATCATATGTTCGTGTTAACTTAATAGATAAAATAATTGTGTCACTGTTTTGCAACTGCCGATATGGAGAAGTCACAGGTTAGTAGCAAAACTTATTAAAATGGAGTACTTTCTAATTGGCTAATAAAAGATTGGTATGGATAACCACTTATAAATCTCAACCGTTGGTTAAATTGAATTCAGTGGATGAGAATAGTTTGGTGAGGAGACTGCGAATTGCTTTGACATCAGAAGACTTTTATATCAACTAGTTGCATACTCCCCGCGCAAGCGCGGGGCCGGAATCATTATGTTTGCGTATATTTTTTTTCGATTTAGTGGTTTAGTGGATTCTTCTAATGATACCAAATAATAATGAAATGGAAAGAATGTAGTAAGAGTAGGCATGTTCAATCTGGTGTTCGGTCCGGTTTCGGTTCGGTTTTTTTCGATTTTCGGTTATTCGGTTTATAAAAATTAGCTACCATATTGGAACCATATTTAATTTGGTTTGGTTCGGTATTTATACTACCGGTTTTCGGTTTATTCGGTTTTATACCAAATAACATTATTATTTGATTTGGTTTCATATTATATGAATTTAAAAAAAAACATATTGTCAAAACTATCATATATTAAAATAATCCTAGGTGTTCATAAATATAAAAATATGAAATTAACAACAAACAAAACGACCAACGATTCAGTTTTGTATAGTTTTTCTTATTTTCTCTTTGTTCTTCCAAATAAATTACATGTTACAATCTAATTTCACAATTTTTACAACATACAAAATCAAATCAAATTTAGATAAGAGTTGAAGAAAATAAAATAAAACTATTAAGGTATATCTTCACAAGGAAAAAAATTAAAAAAGACTATTCCAAGAAAATAAATGGGTATATAATGTCTATATTTATATATTTTTTCTTTGATCGGTTTTGTTCGGTTTATTCGGTTTAATCGGTTATAAACCTAACCATATCCAAATCCTACGGTTTTTATAAAATCATATCCATTCGGTTTATATGGTATATACCAAATCCAAACCATATTCTATATTTATAGTATTTATATTTGTATTAAACGATTTATCAATTTAAAAATAACCTTAATTAAGTTAATATTCGTTGTTTAAGTTTCATTAGATAGGTTTTTATATATGTTTTTTTGTAAGTTTGGGTTTTGTTCATAAATGATGTGGCATTTTTATCTACGGCGTCATCGACTGTGGGAATCCATTCGCCGAAGTCTGGAGTCGGTGGTGAGGAATGTTTTCAATGAAATTATAGTAGTTATTAAAATGTAAGAGAAATAACATATTCATTTAATAAATAAGGAAAAATACTTAAATTTTGTT